CCTGACGTGCAGGACTCACCTATTTCTCTTTTATAAATATCCCATTATAGCCAATTTAAAACAATCAACTTGATATCAGTGAAGGAGGAGTTGGGAAGAGATGCGTATAAACGGCTTCAGCACACTCCCATCTATCCCCCAAACCATTTCTTCTCTTCATGCCTACAGGCACTGCCTTAATTCACCTCTTTCACACTGAACAAGTGATAGCTATTATTGTTAATAGAACCTTTATGATCTCCTGAGCTTATCTCACATCCCTTTATCTGTCAGTCTCCAAAATATCTTCGTAAAATTAAAGACACACCACGTTACCCCTTTGCCCCTCCATTGGTTCTCCATTGCCCGATCTTTATCTTCACATATAAAGCCCTTGATATATTTGTTCCTACTGACTCTTGAGCTTCGTGTCCTGTGACACCAACACCTATAGCCTCTAACCAGAAACACTGGCAAACATGGTATTCCAAAATATATGATGCTATTCTGTACCTCTGTAACTTTGCTTTTTCTGTTCCCACTTCCCCAACTCATCCACTGAGTAAGAACTATTCATCCTTTCGGACTCAACTCAAATTCCTTTCTTTAGAAAGCTTTTCCTGAACTTCTTAAGCAGACTTGATGTCTCCCACCTTTATATAACCAGTATATTTTAGCACCTCTAATAGCCTTTATTGAATTTATTAATCTTTTCACATCCATCTCTTCTCACTATACATGAATTCCTAGATCTGGATCTTATTCATGCATGTACCAAGCAGGTAGTATGGTGATGTATACAGTAGACTTTCAATAAATGGTGACTATTATTGTCTATGGCAACTAATGCCCTAAGACAAGCATATACTAATTGCTCAACAAATGTCTGAACGGAAACATGTACATGTGTTCTTGCTATCTTCCCAAGACCAGAGGAATGCTAAAATACTTGTACCTTCTAGATTATTAGGAAGCCCAAGATCTACTTCCATAGTCAAAGAACTGGTACCATAATTTGTTTCCTATTATCCTCTATAATTTCCTAGTGCTGCCATAACAAAATATCACAGACTAGGTGGCTTAAACAAGAGAAATTACTTTTCTCAGAGTTCGGGAGGCTAGAAGTTCAGGATCAAGGTTTCTCTCGGGTTGGTTTCTTCTGAGGCCTCCCCCCTTGACTTACAGATAGATAGTTATCTTCATGTTCAAATGGCATCCTCCCTGTGTTTGTGTCTAAATTTCCTCTTCTAATAAGTACAGCAGTCATATGTGTGTACCACCCTACTGACCTCATTTTAACCTAGTTACCCAAAGGCCCTATCTACAAATCTGGTTGGATTCTAAGGTACTGAAGATTAGGATTTCAACATGTGAATTTTGAAGGACACAATTCAGCCCTAACAGCCTCCTGCTAGACTATTAGCTCCTCAACAGGCAGGAACCGTAGCTTAGTCTTCCTCTTTAGTATTTTCTATGCCACACAGAGTACCTGAAACACAGAAGAATCTCCATAATTTGTGAGATACATAATTAAAGAGCTTCCTAGAAGTACAGTCAAAATTAGTAGATTATGGTCCCCTCCAAATCTGGTGGCCAGCACCAAGAAAAATGTGACTTTACTCTTTCTCTGAAAAAAAAGTTGGATGCTGTCATCATCTCTAGATAGTCCACTGCAAAACAGCTAAGTATGTGGCACCCAACTCAGAGCAGAAAAATAAAATCATTAAGGCCAAACACCCACAACCATTGACAATACCCTTCTCCCTCCAAATCCATTCCAATACTGCCAGACTGACAGATACCATACATGGCTATAGCCAGATTCAAAATCAAAAGAAAATCGACACTGCTGTGCCTGAAGAACAAGATACAACAGCCTAGGAGAAATAGCAAAATGGGCATCTGTTACTTTTTTCCAACCTATAAAGAAACTTCTCCCTTCCTGTTATGTATGATTTTGGTAGGTCTATCACACAGCCAGCCTTCTCCATTATCAAGATGGGTACAAAACCTACTTAGTTCCTCCACCTCTCCCAGGAGTTTGAATCCTGAGTGAAGTGATGTGAAAATAGAAAACAATTGCCGAGAGTCAATTCAGCCAGTGCCATGAAGGGTTCCTCATACACATATCCCTGAAACAGCCTTGGTTCCTGACCTTGTCAAGGCTTGATTGTCTATTTCTGGGATCTACATGGTAGTGTCCAACAAATGCCTTTTCCTCAAACTAGATAGTATTACGTAGCTCTCCATCAAAGAATCCTGACACATACAATGGCCCCTGGAAGCGGAGTATAGCTAGTGGTGGACCTAAAATATTGAAATGAGGGCAGGCAGTAAGGATTTCCCTGCCCACTACAAAGAAGCAGTGCTTGCAGTCTGTGTCACGCCATTGCAAACTACGCTACTTCCTCTTGTGTTCTGGGACACAGTCCGCATGCCTCTCCAGGCTAAGTCTTCAGGGAAGTTGGTAGGAAAATGTCAACATACTGGTACATGTAGTCATTTCTGACAGCTTTTGTTACAATCCTAGAAGTGACTTAGCTATAGCCAATGTAGTCTATCTCAATGCAGAGGAAACTCTCCCTCACTAAAACTGGCCCTTCTCCTGGTGGAAATCCAAGAGAACAGACAGTTAGATAATCATGAAGGACTATGCAATTTGTATTATTGGCCCTGAGTCAATAATAATGTTAGAAAATATAGGAAAAAAAAAAAGGAAGGAAACACAGCAAAAGATAAGATTAGGACCAAGAGAATTGGGGGAAGCCTGATTCCCCAAGTACCCCCTAATATATACTCCCTCTCTGGCAAAGAGCTAAGTGCTGGGATGAAGCCAGAGGATGAGGAACAAACTAGCTTTGTCTTCAAAAGCAATAAGCAGAAAAATTAAGGGTTGGACATAGGCAGAGCAGCCAGGCTTACTTTTAAGAAAGAGTACCCCCAAGCTAGGGCCCAGAGTCAAGAATCAATCCACAGCACAGAAAATGCATATAAAGACCAGCAGCTTGAGTTAAACTTCCACAGAAACCTTGGAAAATAAAAACTTATTCCTCCAAAGTCAATCTCTGGGTGTCCTAACCAACAGCACTACCAGAATTCAGGACAGTCAAATAATATGTCTCTATTAGGAAAATCCTACCCAGGGTGCTTCGCAAATATTTCCGTTGATTTCATGAGGCAACAGAAAGCCAGTTCAATAGTAGTTAGGTACATAAGGCAGTGAAGGATACTGAATCTACATTTGTCTATGACATTGAAGGGAAGATCTAATCATGGAACAATAACAGCTAAATACAATGATCTTTGTAACATTTAAGACTATCACCAACCTAGCATCCAAGTAAAGGTATATCAACAACTTTCTACAAAGACACAGGGACCAAAAGAATTAGATGCAGACAATGGGGAAAAAAACAGAGAAAAATTAACTGGAAACAGATTATGTTGCAGAAATACAGAAAAAAAAATAGATTTCTTGAGTTGTGCTAATAGAATGGCTTTAATTTACAAAGAGTCTAAATCAAAGAATATTTATTTATTTATTTAGATAGAGTTTGGCTCTTGTTGCCCAGTCTGGAGTGCAATGGCGTGATCTCAGCTCACCACAACCTCCACCTCCCGGGCTCAAGCAATTCTCCTGCCTCAGCCTCCCGAGTACCTGGGATTACAATCATGTGCCACCATGCCTAGCTAATTTGGTATTTTTAGTACAGATGAGGATACTCCATATTGGTCTCAAACTCTTGACCTCAGGTGATCTGCCCACCTGGGAGGATATTTATCTTAAACCATCTACACCCTGTCAATTTATTTCACCATGCTATCTGGGTAGTTAGGTTACCAAAAGAAGCCATCTTGAAAGGAGCTACTGGATAGAAACCTGAGTGCTGCTTTCCTTCCTCTGTGAGAAGTGAGCTCAGATGCTGCAATGTACCAAGCAGAATCAGAGTATCCACAGAGGTAGTTCCTAGAGTACTTCCTCTGGGAGGTACTGGTATAAGGCATCTTTTTCTTACTCTTTCTGGAAAACTGTCTCCCACAGGTAATATAACCTATACTATATTTCTGTTAAATGGCACAGAATCATGTAGAAGCAAAAGAAAAAAAAATTCTAATTCCATATGTGTAGGACCTGTCACTTACTTGCTAAGAGAAAGAAAACCTAATTCCCCAGATCCACTGCATCCTTCCATTATTTCCAGTAACTGCCCTGAGAAAATAGCATTTGAGACAAACTAGAAGGAATATTTATGTTCTGGGAACAAAGGAAAGAACACAGGGTGCGTGGGGTCACGATGAGTAACAGCAAGCCTGAGATGATTCTGCTAAAGATATTTTAACACTCATGAATGCTAGGCCTTGGTTTGGCTTATTAAAATAGTGCTGGGTGGTAAAGAGAGAAGCTGGCATATTTTTCTGTAGATGAGATAGCCCTGGGGAATTGAACGACAGTTGGAATACAGCTGCCATGGCTAAAACCAAGCAAGTACAGATGTCACCCCCAAAGTGGAAATAATTTCATACCATCCCACACTGCCAAATTCAAAATGCCAATGGAGGAAATGTATTGGGGAAGGGGGTCATTAACATAGACTAGATAACTATTTTAAATACCATTCTGTGTATAACTAACATTTCTGCTGCTGAGATCCATGAGCAACAGTTATTATGGTTTAAAGAGCTCAATCAAAAATCTTACTGCTCAGCAAAATGAAAACAATACAAAGTGCTATTCTCAGAGATTGGAACAGGCACATCAAATTCAGTCACTAGACATTAGACTTTGTAATGCCAAATGTTTGGAAAATGTCCTTTTAGAAGGCAACAATTTTCTCTTTTTTCTTCCTTCAATAGTTGTTTTCCTTGTAAGTAGTGCTACCATCTTCTATGTTCTTAACTCATAGGTTAGGTAAGAAGACACTAAAAGCACGGAGCACCACATCAAAGTACTCATTTCCCCTAGAAAGATAACCCAGGGAAAGGGAACATTTCACACACACACACACCGACCCTTGACTTACCAAATGCCTTCTTAGGTTCTATTAACGTCATGGTAAAGAGTTCTTCTTTTTTTAATTCCTTTAACTTCTTAGCAACATCATAGTGACGCCACCCAACAATATTTTCTCCATTTATGGATTCAATATGATCCCCAACACAGATTGTTTTAACTGAGTCAATAACACCACCATCTTTAATTCTCTGAAAGAAAATTAATAACATAATATAAAACAGAACTGTGTAATGAACACACCAATCTCATCTGATCTGGAAGCTAAGCGGGGTTCGGCCTAGTTAGTAGTTGGATGGGAGACTGCCTGGGAATACCAGGTGCTGTAGGTTTAAAAAAAAAGTGTGTAACAATACTTTTTATGCTTTTGAGACATTATATACAATGTATTGACACAACAATGCAGTCTGATGCTCAGTTAGAGACAGAAGACCGAGCAACCAAGAACAACCATCTTACCTCCAACCATTCCTCATCTTCCTTATCATTCAGAATTCAGCTCACTCATAGTCACCACATCCTCTGCAAAGCTTTCCTGACATTCCCCAACCCACTCGCCAAAGAAAGGGTAAGGTGCCACTCTCATATGCTTCTACAGTACTTTTGGCTGTATATGCTGAACTCTAAAGTAAGCACTGTGCATTCATTATTTCATTTAATTCTAACAACCTTTATGAGATTCTCATGTCACAGGTCAGGAAGATTAAAGCTTCAGAAGATCAAGTAACTTGCCAGATTCAACATACCACAGTGCGATTGTTCATTTACTTCTCACTCCCCATTACTAAACTAATATCCTCGAGGACAGAGATGGTCTTTTTCACTACCACATGTCTGTGCCTAGCACAATATCTGCAAAGAAAAGTCCCTTCATAAATGATTACTGAATTGTTTCAGTTGTGGCCCATCATATAAGAATAGAGCTTGAGCTTTTTCAATTGGCTGCATTTAGTTACAAATGCAAAGACACAAAGAATAATACCATCTCAGCTAAGATGGCTGATACCCAATAAAAGACAAGTATGGTTATTTTGAGAGCCAGTAAGGGTGATTTTATGCTACTGTTTTTCATTTTTGTATTTTAGCTGAAGACAATGTAGGACCCCAAGGAGAAACTTCAAGTTGGTCTTTCTTAAATCTGTCTTACTTCTCTACGATACATCTAAAGGATAGTCTCAAAATGAGATCTAAGATTCCCAAGATGGTATCAAGAATTTCTGAAAGGATTTTAAGAGCAGGAGCTCCAGAAAACTCTTCCAGAATTGCAGAAAACAACCCTGAAGACGATGTACAAGTTCTTCTACGATGATGAGGAATGGCGCAAAACAAAGCCATAATCTGTCTCAAAAGTCCCAAATCCTTCATAGGAATGAAAGCAATATTAGGAGTGGCTGCTATTGTGTAATAAAGGCTGGGTATTCTCCACGCTTGCTAGGTGGAAGTATAACATCTTCTGAATCAGCTGGGTGATTGATCATTGTGTCCAAGAGCTAAGAGAAAACTGATCTCATCTATCTCCAGCACCTCCATCACATTGTCATCAGGAACAAGAATAACTTAGGAAGATTAGGCATTTTTAATGTTTAAGTTGCATTATTAGAAACCAAAACTCATAATACATTTCTTTTTTATCCCAAATTTTAAGAATACTGCTATATTCATTCATTCTAATAGTGACTGTTAACATGCTATATGCAAATGTCACAATAATGCCAATTGAAACAGAGCTCACTGTCATTGCAAATAAACTATAAAGCAAAGAAACCGGAAGTTTCATGATCTACCTGACATTGTTTTATTAGAAACCCATATTAACCTTATATCACTAATGGAAACAATGGGAGCCACTCAGTAACTAGTTTCTAAACTGTTACAGAAAAATAAAGAAGATTAAAGAAAAGACTAGAGTCTAAAAAAGAAAAAAATTATTAAATATTGATATACAGCCATTCTTAAGTCATCAAAGAATTCCAACAATCTATATTTAACTTTAATTTTTTTCTTAGTTTTTATTCTAATTCATCTCTTGATACATGGTAATTTTTTTTCCTTTGGTCAACTACATAATACAAATTTCAGAGTCTCGCCACACAGTATTTTTAGTTTCAGATTTAGAGTTACCATTTTATTTAAAATAAGAATTATGTAAAAATTAAAGACTTTGAAGACCCATCTGAATCTCATCAGCGAATTAAAGGTCAGAGAAACAGAAATTTAGGGTTGCTGAGGCCCATGAGTCGCCTCAGCAACCGGAAGAGTGCCCAGACAGAGGGAGGAAAGCCAGTTACCAGAAGTCAGAGCAGGCAGCAGGGTGAGAATCCAGGTAGCAAGAGAAAAGTCACAGCACATGTCACTATCAGAGGCAGCAGATAAGAATCTGGAATGAAGACACAGGAAAATCAATATAGGAAACTTGAAGACGAGCCAGATACAGAAGCAAAGTTGGAAACAAGGATTATCTATTTTATGGGTTACCTGAGTCTTAGCCTCCAACGTGGGCAGGATAAAGAACACGGCAGCAATGAAGACAAGTTTCTGAAAGCGAATGTGCTTTGATAATCATACAATAACTTGATAGAGATTAATAACACTGCTAAAAGTACTACTCAGATGCAAAGGAGTAAGAGGGGAAAAAAGAAAGGCATGAATGCTATACTTATATTTACTTGGTTACTTATACTATTCTCTATAACACTTAGAAACTTTCACCTGCCTTTGGAGCTTGATGCTGCAAAAGGCAGAGATTTATTTATTTATTTATTAATAAGGTAAGATTTACATTATTAAACACAGAAGTTTTCAACCATTTCAGATCATTATTATATTTCCCATTATGGCCGGGCGCGGTGACTCAAGCCTGTAATCCCAGCACTTTGGGAGGCCGAGGCGGGTGGATCATGAGGTCAATAGATCGAGACCATCCTGGTCAACATGGTGAAACCCCGTCTCTACTAAAAATACAAAAAATTAGCTGGGCATGGTGGCACGTGCCTGTAATCCCAGCTACTCAGGAGGCTGAGGCAGGAGAATTGCCTGAACCCACGAGACGGAGGTTGCGGTGAGCCGAGATTGCGCCATTGCACTCCAGCCCGGGTAACAAGAGCAAAACTCCATCTCAAAAAAAAAAAAAGAAAAAAGAAAAAAAATATTTCCCATTATGTTCATCCCATATATTTAGAGAATTCTGTCTTCCCATCACAGATGTCAGCAGAAGTCTAGGGCAGCATACACTCGCTCTAAAATCATAAGCACCATACTCTGAGCTGCTTGTCCAGTTGCCAATGATCAGCAACTTTGAGATCTGTGTTGCTGATCCTTCCAACACTGTCCTCAAACCTCACTCATAATAATAAACTAACAGTCATATAGTTGTAAATACTTATCTCATTTGGTCCTCATAATAAGCCTAGGAAAAGCATATTTATCATTCCATTTGATGAATGAGGAAATTGAGGCACAATCATTATGAATAATGAAGAATGAATGAATGAGGAAATTAAGGCTTGCCCAAGATAACACAGCTAATAAACAATAGAATTAGATCTCAAACAGAGGTGATATAATTTTAAAAATTAAAAATGTTTTTTTTTTAAAGAAGGTATAGAGCCCAAGGTCTTCTGACCTAAAGAACAAAGTTTTAGGTTATAAATGTCCAAAGTGATCTATCACCTTTGAACTCTGAATTTTTTTTTGACAACCTTATTTTTCCATTTTCCATTTCTTTATTTCTACTAAAGCTGTTTCTCATCAATATCTCATCATCGTCTTCAGATCTCAGACATTACCTATTTTCACAAATCATCGTGTCTATTCTGGCTTTACAGACCTCTGCTCAGATCCTAGCTTCCATCCTATAATCCTCTGCCCCCTTGACTTCCTACATTTCAAGTCTTGCTGATTCGTAGTTTGGGCAAATGGACAAGTAAAATGTTAGAAATACGTAAGTATTATATTTCTCAGAATGATTATTCTAAAATGAGGTTCTACTAAAGCAAAAGTACGGCAAATCATAAAGATTTATGAAGATATTCTGACAATGACAACTTTGTGGTTAGTCAAACTATTACAACTCAAATCAAAAGTGGGTTTTTAAAAATCAATTTAGCCTCATTTCTTAATTGCATGTTTTAAATCCTTATTTTTATTTTAAATTTAAAAGTACAAGTCTCAATTGGGCACAGTGGCTCATGTCTGTAATCTTAGCACTTTGGGAGGCCGAGGCAAGCAGATCACCTGAAGTCAGGAGCTCGAGACCAGCCTGGCCAACGTGGTGAAACCCCATCTCTACCAAAAATACAAAAATTAGCTGGGCATGGTGGCACATGCCTGTAATCCCAGCTACACAGAAGGCTGAGGCAGGAGAATCGCTTGCACCCAGGAGGCAGAGGTTGCAGTGGGCCGAGATAATAATGCCACTGCACTCCAGCCTGGGTGACAGAGTGAGACTCTGTCTCAATAAATAAATAAGTTAATTAATTAATTAATTAAAGTACAGGTCTCTTCTCTTAAACCAGGTGTCAGCAAACTATGGCTAACAGCAGAAATCCAGGATGGTGTGTACCCCCCACCACAGCCCACCATCTGTTTTTATACAGCCCATGAGTTATAAATGGGTCTTACCTTTTTGAGTGGTTGGGGACAAAAAATCAAAAGAAGATATTTATGATGTGAAAATTACATGAAATTCAAATTAGTGTCTATTAATATGGTCTCACCGGGAAATATGCATGATCATTCATCTAAGTATTATCTGTAACTGTTTTCACGCTACAGGGGCTTAGTTGAGTAGCTGCAACAAAGACCATATGACCCACAAAGTGCAAAATATTTACCATCTGCCTTTTACAGAAAACATTTGCCAACTGCTGTCTTAACTATACACAGGTTTTATTATAAGTATGCTCTTAATTTTCTGATTAAGTTATTTACATACTTTTTGTCCTTGGAAATGTTGAGACTTAGACACTAATCCCAGCTACTCCAGAGGCTGAGGTAGAAAAATCACTTGAACCCAGGAAGTAGAGGTTGCAGTGAGCTGAGATCACGCCACTGCACTCCAGCCCGGGGACTCTGTCTCCATTAAAAATAATAATAATAATATGAGCAATCTACGACAAACCCACAGCCAACATTACACTGAATGGCAAAAGCCAGAGCATTCCCCTTGAAAACCAGCACAAAACAAAGATATCCTCTCTCACCACTCCTATTCAACATAGTATTGGAACTCCTAGCCACAGCAATTAGGCAAAAGAAAGCATTAAGGGCCTCCAAATAGGGAAAAAGGAAGTCAAACTATCTATGTTTGCAGGTGATTATGTTTCCATATCTGGAAAACCCCATATTCTTGGCCCAAAAGCTCCTTCAGCTGATAAACAACTTCAGCAAAGTTTCAGGATACAAAATCAATGTATAAAATTCCCTACTAACATTCTTATACACTAACAGCCAAGCCAAACACCAAATCAGAAAGACAATCTTATTCACAATTGTCAGAAAAAGAATAAAATATCCAGGAATACACCTAACCAGGAAGGTGAAAGATCTCTACAATTAGTAAATATTTTAATGACTTTGAAAGTAAAAATTTTGATGAGGAAGCCAAGAAAGAACCCTGTGGGGCAAGATGACAGTTAGAGGTATAGTTATGAGTTCATAATTTTTTTTTGAGAGAGTCTCCCTCTGTTCCCCAGGCTGGAGGGTGGTGGCGTGATCTTGGCTCACTGCAACCTCCTCTTCCGAGGCTCAAGTGATTCTCCTGTCTCAGCTTCCCAAGTAGCTGGAATTACAGGTGTGCACCATGCCCAGCTATTTTTTGCATTTACAGTAGAGGTACAGTTTTACCATATCGGCCAGGTTGGTCTCAAATTCCTGGCCTCAAGTTATCCACCTACCTCAGCCTCCCAAAGTTCTGGGATTACAGGCTTGAGCCACCATGCCTAGCCCAATTCATAATTTCTAATAAACATGTTCTCTAATTCTACCACTGAAAGGATCTAGAAATAATGCATTCCAGTAGCAATGTATGAGCATAGCTAATACCGGAACTTGACTTTCAAATGTCAATCTCTAGTAAAAATCAGAGCTCCTTAGAGAAATGGTTGATTCTAGGCCTGGGGAAAAAGAGATGCAAGATAGGTCTAGAACACCGTGTTGTGCCAGAAAGTAAGAACCTACTCAATAAAATGACAGGAGCCATGTCAAAAAGACATGGGGGCCAACTTACAGGGATTTCTGCAGGCCAAGTCTCAGGAAACTTGAGCATCAAAATAATTGATAGTAATAGACTATAACCCATTGAGTAAAATATAAAATCATGTACACATGTTGACAATAAATAAGGGCAGCTTATTCCCTAAAATAAAATGCTTTCAGAGAAATATATAAGGAATGATGGAATTAGAAAAATAATCATTTATTCAACCATTATAGGAAAAATTAATTCAAGCAAGACTCATCAACAGATACTAAATCTGTGCGATGCAAATAAGAAAACAGGATATTTTCATAATATCAAAGCATCTCTCCACAATTACTTATCACAAAGGAAAATAATTTGTAGTAAAAAAGACTGGTGGACACTACCTCAGATAAGTGACAAAAATTAACATCACAATGAGACAAACCAACATCAAGTACCTTCTGATGCAGGGCACTCAGAAAGACACAGCATCACTTATGTCATTTTCCTGCCAAAAACGCACAGTCTAATAATCAACATGAGGAAACATCAGAAAAACCCAGATTTAGGGACATTCTATAAAAGGCTGAGGAACTATTCTAGATTAAGGAAGACTAAAAAGACATGACAACTATTCTAGATTATAAAGACTAAAAAGACATAAATGAAATGCATGATCTTAAATTGGATCTGTATGGGGGGGGGAATAATAAACACAATTAGGATAACTGATACAACTAAAATGTGAACTATAGATTAGTTTAAAAGTATTATATCAATATTAGACTTGTGAATTTCATAATTGCACTGTAGTTATATATAAGAGAATACCCTTGTTCTTAGTAATTACACTCTGAAGTATTGAGGGGTAAAAAGTATATATGTGTGTGTGTGTGTAAGAGAGAGAACAAAAAAATCAAACATGGCAAATGGTAAAAATTGGAGATTTGGGGCCAGGCGCGGTGGCTCAAGCCTGTAATCCCAGCACTTCGGGAGGCCGAGGCGGGTAGATCACGAGGTCAATAGATCGAGACCATTCTGGTCAACGTGGTGAAACCCCGTCTCTACTAAAAATACAAAAAAATTAGCTGGGCATGGTGGCGCGTGCCTGTAATCCCAGCTCCTCAGGAGGCTGAGGCAGGAGAATTGCCTGAACCCAGGAAGCGGAGGTTGCGGTGAGCCGAGATCGCGCCATTGCACTTCAGCCTGGGTAACAAGAGCGAAACTCCATCTCAAAAAAAATAATAATAATAATAATTTTAAAAAAATAAAAAAAAATTGGAGATTTGGATAAATGATGTATGGGAGTTCTTTGTATTATTATTACAGTATTTCTGTAAGTTTGAAATTATCCTCTCCCAATTTTTTAAAAATGTCACCAACTGTGCGTACAGTATAACATGCATCTCTCTTCTAAGTTGAACTATATTTTGGCAGCTTAGACTATGCCTTGCTGTCTCCTTTGCTACTATGTCCTATGTCTCCACAGCGCTAGTGACTAGTACTCTGAGGCAGGCACATGTTTGACAAAGCATTTTTTTAAAAAAATAGAAAGACAAGCTCTGAATGTCAGAGGCTACGTTTTAAAAATCCACACATGTTTGTGAAACTTCCAAGCCCTTCTCTGCTGCCTGTGCCTCATGTCCTGAGCTTCCCTTGGATAATCCCATATGACTTTCCCAAACACAGATTTTCCATTTGGTCACTCACTCAACCTTCAGGGCAGTCATATCTTTTGCCGAGCTAAAAATAGCCATTCTATCAAGTGGGATGCAAAAGTCCCATTTACAGTTAAGAAGATAACTTCCCTAAGATTATTTTTAATGATGACAGTGCATCAGCAAATCAGGATTTGTACAAAATAAAGGCACAAAATATGCCCTGTTGCATGAAGTCTATCATTAATTCTTAACTGAGTTAGTAGAAGTCCCAGCTCTGAAGTCAGACCTCACAGATCCAAATCCTAAATTTGTCCAGCTATTTAACTTTGGGCAAGCTACTTAACCTTCCTGATCCTGTTTCCACACCTGTAAAACAGGGTTGGAAATAGGACATATCCATGGATCTCATAGGCATCTTTTTGAGCAAAAGAAGCCAAAAGTAGTGTAGTATATAATATATGATTATAAGAAGTTCATGGCAATAGATGGCAAAATAATGGCTACTTTACTGGGAAGGGGCACAAATGAGCCTTGTGGGTTGCAGAAATGCAATTTATCCTGATCTGGATAACAGTTAAAGAGGAGTGAGTATGTAAACATTCACTAAGCTATACATTAAAAATGCCATGAAACCCCGTCTTTAAAAAAAAATTACTTGCATAATGAAATTTTTAAAAAGCCTTATATCACAACAACAACAAAAATGCAAAGAAAAAATATAATATCAACCAAATAGAATTGTGAGGATTAAATGCGAAATTGTATGCAAAGTGCCTAGTACGTGCATTCTATATAAGTCAGTTATTATAACTACTTATTACAATAATAGAACTGTTATGTTTAAGAGATGAGTCTACCTTTTTCTCCTCAGTTCTTATTTTTATACCATTTCAAACTTTTCTCTTGCCTTTGAAACTCTATATTGCTCTCTTTGTATTTGAATAACAGAATTATAATTGGCCCTGGGTATCCATGGGGGATTGGTACCAGGACCCACCACGAATACCAAAATCCTACAGATGTTCAAGTCCCTGGTATAAAATGATGCAGTATTTGCATATAACCTATGCACATCCTTCTATATACTTTAAATCATCTCTAGATTATAATATCTAACATAGTGTCAATGCTATGTAAACAGTTATACTATATTGTTTAGGAAATAATGACACCAAAAAAGTCTGTACATGTTCAGTACAGATGTAATTTTTTTCAACTATCTTCAATCTGTGGTTGGTTGAATCCACTAATACACTCACAGATATGGAAATCTAACTTTTTATACTTCTTAAAGTTTTCAAGAGCATTTTTAAAGACATAAATAAGGCAGTCAAAAGTATGAATAGTTGGAAATAACACTAATTCAATGAAATCAGCCTGAAAGTCATCAGATGTTAAAACCTACAGACATGGAAAAGCTTACATTGATAATCACTAGGCACCAGAATTAGACTTTCCTTTCAGTTAGTTCAAATTCTAGAGGAAGTTTAAACTAAAAGAAAGAAATTCAAGAAAATGATAAACACAAACTGATGTCTGAACATTTTTCAAATGCAAGTGAAACATTACCAATTCATGTATTCTTGCTGAGCTGGCTCTCACTCTGAAGATCATTTCTAACTCTCTTTGACATGGTAGATTTTCTTAAATGTGATTGTCAAATAGGTTACACTGTTATTTTTTAAAACTTACCTTTATAAAAGCATAGCCAACACCATTATCTGTAATGGTAAGACCAAGTGAATCCTCAGATTTATACACATTCACTTCTTTTTTGATTCCTTTCACATGGGCAAACATGAAATCTTGTAGTCCTAATTGTCCTCCTAAGAGTCTTTCCATGTCAACTCTAGGTGTGTTTAAAGTGCAATATAAGATCTGCAAAGAAAAAGAAAAATTCAGGTCCATTTCCAGTTAGAATACATCTGACCATTAATTTATTCATAAATATTTATTGACTGGAATACGCAATTTATGATACAGAGAGTTACATCATAAAATGTGTTTTTATGTTGGCTGGAGAGAATCTGGACACATTTTCATACCATAGCATTAGGTAACATATATTGAGGGTTTCCTATAGGCCAGGCTTCATGCTCAACAATTTACATCCCATTATCTCACTTAATCTTTACAGTAACTTTATAACATACATTGGTATCGCCATATTACAAATGAGGAAATTGAAGCCTGGCAAAATTAAGTAATTTCTCTAAGGTCATACAGCCAGTACTTGTCAGAGCCCAGGATTTGAGTTCAGGTCTTACCAGTTTCAAAGTGGTTTATGCCAAGTGACCTGACATTTTACAATGCTGAAATCAAAGGTGATAGTCCCAAAGGTCTGCATGATGCATATACTACAAAGAAAATATAGGCAAGCCTGTATTTGAAAGTGGTAAATACATTTTTTAAATACAGACAGTTTTATTTATCTTGTATTATAGTGACGGAAAAAAGCAATTTAATTAGTGAATGAGGTGTTAAAATGACTATGTTTTAGAACTAAAATGGACTTCCAGGACTATTAACCCAACCCCTTATTTTAAAAAACAGGGAGGCGGGGGCATGAGATTGAGGTCTGGAGATTTTAAAACAACTGGTACCGATTCATGTGATGGTAGAAAGAGAGCAAAAAAGGAACCAAACAGTGAAAAGTTGTAAGGAGATTTCAAAGGGGCTTTTTATGTTTACCAAGTCTTTATTTGATCTCATTTTCCTTCAGAAATATGACTCATTTGACTAACATGTGCAGTGCTACTCAAGTGTGTCAACCATAATCTGGGAAACTTGTGGGGCCCAAATTATAGAAGAAGAGAAGCAAGGTTGCAAAGATGTCATCGGTTAAGAAGCTAAATTCAACAAACATGTATTGACTAGCTGCTATGTAACAAGCCAAAGAAGGGCATTTTAATATGGCTGTTACATGCCAAAATGACTAAGTGACATTTATCAGGTAATGTCCACCACAGACACCGCAAGCCCTTCCTCCAACCCGGATCCTTACCGCAGGCCTCACTCTCAATCCTCTCCCAGTATCCTGGAGTTTTTCACATCAGTCCTGATTCCCACCAGAACCTTGATTAAGCCTTAACACATCCATAATCTGCACGCTGCTCAGAAATAGGGTGCACTGACTACTCACTGAGTGGCTTTTTTAGGCCATGTCAAAATGTATCTGAATCAGAAGAGCTTCGTAAAATAAAGCTCTCCCTCCCTGCTACACAATCAATGGTTAAGAGCATTCGGCCAAGCTCAGACCAAATCCCAGAGGTGTGTTAAAGGAGTTAGTGACGACAAAAAAAAAGGTCACTGGCTACTGACCCCTACCCTGTCCTCTTTTCATCCCAGTCCTTGCTGAGACTTTAATTTAACCCTTTATGTTCCCAGTTAAGGGCAAAATATATTCAGCCTTGCAGATAGTGAGTTTTTATAGATATCCTCTAGTGTAAAAAGTATATTGTTCTCAGTGGCACAAAAAGTCAGTTAAGTCAAGAATGGTGCATATTTCTGATCCTAACTGAAAAATCAATGGCATATTAGTTTGCTGACAAAAATCATTTGAATGGGTAGAGGGGGAAGAAAGTATGTGTAGAAAACAGGTTTTCTGACTCTCCTTCACAAAATGATGGGAAGTAAGTAGAAGAAATAGTTTTTCTCCTTGTTTTTTTTTTTTTTTTCCCCAGTGAACCTGTCAATGGCATGCATAGTGGATCCCAAACACCACCAATATAAAAGCAATTTACCCATTAGATAGGGGGAAAAAAACATCACAATACAATGATGGTCTAACAGGATAGAAAAAAAAAAAAAAAAAAAAAAAAGAAGATAAAACGGAAATCTCACACAAACTGAACTTCTAATTACCAAGCCTCTTCCTTCGCTTCCTTTCTTTCAACTTTTCACTTGCTTCACTACAGAGCAAACATTAGATTTCCTGCAGGTAGAAAAACGCTTTTCCATCGTGTTTCCTCCCCTGCAGAAGAACATTCCATTCTGGGCAGCCAAAAGTTAGCAGGCAAGGCATTCGTTTCTTTTTTTCTGGAAGGAATGGAGTCAGCTATATCTTTCAGTGAATGGAGCTTCATGGCAAGCTGTGTTGAAAACATGTAGGAATGTGGTAGCCACTGCAAGGTTCAGTAAGAGCAAGGTGGAATAAAAGCTCCATGACTTCAGATCAGTTCTTCGTGGGAGAATAAGAACCTACCACTCATACGGTATCAATGCACAACTATCAGCAACTATACCTCTAAATAGGTGATAAAGGTCGAGAAATTCAAGCATCCTCAATGATTTTATATTTTGAACTGCAAAATAAGAAAGTGATACACTCGTTTCCAAATAATGCAAAGTTCCTGCTCATTCACTCATCAAAAAGCAATGAACATTTAAATCAAAAGGAACTTCAAGAATCAACTGTGAGCTTTCCTACCCTCACTCACACTCACATGATAGGGAAGAAAACAATAAAATTAACAGTGAAGTGGCCATATTATCAATGTTCCTATAAGAAATATTTGCTTTCAAAATCTAAGTACATTACACAACGGGCAGTGAAAGGCAGCGCTTAACTTTTTTTTAATATATATAACACTCTCTGGTGGACGAACCAAACTAAATCAGAAAAGATTTGGAAACTAAATTCATAACAAGGTATCATGCAACATAAGGAAAATGACTGATCCACTAGATACAATCTTAATGATGTTTTTCATTGTAAAATGAAATCCTTAACACCAACAAATAGAGATGGGGTATCTCTATTTGTTGCTTTACTGCCATCATTGCCTATTTCCACAACAGATGGAGTACTCACGACTATTTCATTTTCTAGAGCATCACTGCACAATAAAAATACAGTGTAAGCTAAATAATTTTAAATTTTCACAGTAACAAAAGTAAGAATAGCTGAATTAATTTAATTTACAATTATATAACCCAGTATATCCAAAGTATTGTCATTTCAACATAGAATCAATATAAAAATTATTAAGATAGTTTATATTTTTTAAGTTTTTAAGATCTAGCATGTATTTACCCTTTCATCTTGTCTCAATTTGGAAGAACCAGCCACATTTAAAGTGCCCAGTATCCAAATATAGCTAGTGGTTACAATATCAAGCAGTTCAGCTTTAGAATCTCATGTATATAGGCTGGGTGGAGTGACTCACACCTGTAATCCCAGCACTTTGGAAGGCTGAGGCGGGCAGATCACCTGACGTCAGGAGTTCAAGACCAGCCTGGCCAACATGGCAAAACCCCGTCTCTACTAAAAACACAGAAAATTAGCCGAGCATGGTCGGCAGACACCAGTAATCCCAGCTACTTGGGAGGCTGAGGCAGGAGAATTGCTTCAACCTGGGAAGCAGACATTGCAGTGAGCCGAGATCACACCACTGCACTCCAGCCTGGGTGACACAGCGAGACTTTTATTTTTGAAAAGAAAAATAAAAAACACTTCTAATAGGTAGGGATTTTTTCTTATTAGTTTATTTGTCTTATTACAGGGGTCCCCAACCCCCAGGCTGCAGACTAATACCGGTCCATGGCCTGTCAGGAAACAGGCCACACAGCAGGAGGTGAGTGGCTGGGGGCAAGCGTTACCACCTGAGTTCTGCCTTCTGTCGGATCAGGAGTGGCATTAGACTCTCACAGGAGCATTAACCCTAGTGTGAGCTGCGCAAGTGAGGGTTCTAGGCTGCCAGCTTCTTATGAGAATCTAATGCCTGATGATCAGAGGAGCAACAGTTTCATCCTGAGACCATCCCACTCACCCCAATCCATGGAAAAACTGTCTTCCACGAAACCAGTCCCTGGTGCCATAAAGGTTGGGGACTGCATACTTATCACTCTGCCTTGTCTATATGGAAGGCAGATTAATTGAAGGAGAAAGCAATTGCCCTTTGGGGCCAGAAGATGGAGGGCCTTGAATTATTGCTATGTCAGACATCAACATCTTCAGTATCTATTCCCTTTCCCCCTAATTTTCCTTTGGAAACTTATCTTCCCCATTTTAAGCCATATGGTAGCTTGGGTGGGAGTGACCACATCCTCAGGTTAAAATTGTTTAATGACTACCAGTTTAGGACAAGAAGATCCAAGAATGAATGTATTGGGGTTTGGGGGGAAGAATTCTCTTCTCTTTTCCATAGAAGCTACCAAACAGTGGTTCTCTCTTCCTCGCTTCTTCTAAATTTTGTGAAGTCTAAAATGACGGCATTCAACGGCAGTTGAGTGACAGCTTTTTAGACTGCTGTCTAAAAAGCTGTCACTCAAACATTAGAAGAGTGGGCCTGGCAACAACATTCACATGGAGGAGCACAGAGCCTCTGGCTCCCATCTTACTTAAAGACAGTCAGGAGTGGACACTGGAAATTGTCCACTCTTTTCCCCTCCTAACACAATTCCCAGATGTGTACACTTTGCAAGCACTTTGGAGGAAAATGACTCACATCCCCTGTTCCAGGCATAAAAGTGAACTGGCCTAAGTGGTGGTTTAGGAGTAGCATGTGGCCCAACGCCAGCCTATAAGACACAGAGGAAGATGTCCAGGAAGCTCTGGAAAAAAATTTTTCATGCCTAATAAAGAAACACAGGAACAGACAGTCCCTTTCTTCCTCTTATGTTGCCTTATCTGTATGCGGTCTAGGAATTTCTACCACCATCTTCCTGCCAGCTGAGAAGGAAACCAATGCCAAGAATGGCAAAGCAAAAAGATCAAATAAACCTAAGTCCTTGGTGACACCGGAGAGTTACTCTGTTAACCAATTTGGAGCCCACTCTACCCCTTTTATTTATTTTGAGACAGGGTCTCACTCTATCACCAAGGCTGGAACACAGTGGCATGATCATGGCTCACGGCAGCCTCAACCCCCCAGGCT